GAACCTTCTACCAGATTGCAGAAGTTGGAACAGTTTGTTGCCTGGATGGGACGGGTCCTTCAGCTACATGTAAACGACGTTTAGAATCACTGAAAATGGAGATCTTTTAAAACTCCTTTTTTGTGTTTATGTGTGGACGAGGAATACAGAGTTCATCAGGCAAGTCAAAGGTATGTTCCTTTTTTCACGTCACGCTGTGCACACGTTATTGTTTACATGAGATGAACTGCAAATAGAGACAAAATACTGTTACTGTTAATCTGACTATCTTCAGGTTTTACACGCTTACATACACACAGTTACTGTCCCTCCATTAGAAAGGCAGAGGCGTCACGGTGTGATTATTGTACGTGTAGTTGTTTTTTTTCCCTGTGTAATAATATTCAACATTGCTGTCAATACATTTTTCAAAAAATGTCTCTCTGTGCAAAATGGGTTTAAAAACAAAAACAGCTGTGGGATCCTGTTTGTCCGTGATTTGAACCGAGGGAACAAATCATGGCAGGATCAGCCTGATGTTATTTGTATCTCACTGTAACTTTACTGTATAAAGAGCAAACATCTCCCTAGGGGGCGGGCCCCACACTTTGGGAAGCTCTGCTCTAAAATATGTGAAACATATGTCAAATGTATCCCTCATGATATCAAGTCATCTTGAGTCACAAACAACATTCCTGTAAGAAGATACAAGCCGCAATCAGTTTTTGGTAGTGACTTTTATATAGCCTTTATTTACGCAGTTAAAAAAAATCTCGTTGACATTAAAAATGTATTTTTAAAGAATAATCTGAGCAAGAGGACAGCAGACATGGCAACAAATATAATAATAGTTCTGTAAACATATTTAAAGTGGACAAAAAGGACCGGATTGGTTATAATGTAAGTACAATAACATAGAGTTACAAAGGTACTTGAAAAACAGGTAATTTATATATTTTTTATATAACCCAACCCTGATTACCGAAGTCCACCGAATACCAACATAAGTAAAGATATTACACAAATAACAAACAAACGGAAACATATGACATCAGTTTTTGGCAGGCGTCACTATAGGCAGAACTTTGTGCCATCAGAAACTGAACTTCTGTCCATAGGATCACTTTTTGGCACAACACCGGGTTAGTGCGTTTTATTTGTTGTACTGTCTCTTTAAGAGACCCGGAAATGATTTCCTATGTGTGGTAACTGGTCGTGGGTTCCAGACAGCTTAACCTCCCCCCGGTAATGACATCCCATCCCGTGATTTTGGCTTTCCGGAGCAGTGTAAGGTGCTGGCGACACCGGGCTCTTCTCAGAGTGGCTCTGGAGGCCTCAGACGTCCGCTGCAGGCGCCGGTACTCTACACATATTCGCGGCGGTGTCTCCGGTATGGAGGAGATACTATCGAGGGTCGTTGCACCTTTACCTTCCTACGAAACGAGGGACAAATCCCCGCCCCCACCCGAAACTAACAGCCTGGAGTTCATGTACTTCTACAAAAGTCTCGATAAGGAAGATAAACTTTGTTTCCTAACGAAGCTATCACAAGACTTCGGGGTGGACCACAAAAGTGTTTCGGAGCTCGCACTGAAGCTACTGGACACTCAATTACGGGACTTGGCGACCATTTTGCTAGCTGAAGACAGACTCCGGTACACCTTGACTCCCCGTTATAAACAGCTGTTCAGTCATATAAGCAGAGTCGAGGGGGGAGTGAAGTTTCTTGTGGATCTGCGAGCGGATGTGCTCGAAATAATCTCGTCCAAAGCTAGCGACAGCCCGCACATCAGGGTAATATTCGTTCACATTTCTACGGGTGCTCGCTTGACTCGAGCTCAAGAAATACCTTTCGCGTTTATGTGTTTGACATTGCCAATATAGAGACACTGCATGTGACATAACCTGACAGCATCCAACGGTAGCTACAGTATAGCCGCCTGCACACTGCAGCCTGTGCGCTGCCCCCCGGTTCATATTTCATCACGGGTTCAGTGCACCTTTGCCCCAGTTAACTCCCCCTTACTAACCATGTAATTAACGAGTCCTTTTTTATTCCTTCTTAGTGTATGATTGTTTAACATATTGATTAGACGGGGGCTTGTTTGGGACAAAAACACTGTCAAGCTCAATTTCAGAGCTTTCTTCAGACTTCCTGCGTGTTCTGGATGGACAGCTCAGCTGATCAGAGCTGTCTTCCACTGTTGTTGGAAATCTCTCGTGTTTAAAAAAAGACTTTAAAATGTTTAATTCTATAGATGAATAAGAACTTCTCTGCCGTAGCTACAAAGGGAAAGAACTGAATATTAATCAGGCATGTAATGAATATTTTGAATGCATCCTTTGAAGACAGTTAAAACGGAAAGAAACCCTTAAAGATCCCATTACACCGATCCCATGTTCTTTGCCCACTTATAATGGTACATTTCTGGCAGCGCATTTAACCATAAAGGCAGTCTCACAGGCCTCATCATTCAGGCGTCAATATAATCACACCTTTCAGTTCACACTAGGGTGTAACAGTGCTTATGCACGCTGGAAGTGGTAACAGTGGAATATTTTAAGTGGGTTTGTCAGCGTGTAGTTCGTGCACTTAGTTTGAGAGTACAGATATAAACACTGTAGAGGTATTCACATCTAAAGCCCCATATTTGATACTAATAGCAATAATAAAATTACCACAAGTGGTTTGATTCTGATATCTGTTCTGTCATTCAGTGTAATGTGCTAGAAAGTCTATCAACTGAACCTTAGTGCTATGTAAACAAATAAAGCAGTTATGATTTTTTTAACTTACATTTTTTAGAGTATTTACATTGTCAGAGTAACATATTCTTCATGATTTTTCCACAGTTACAACATCGGCTTTATCTTTTTCTTATTGTCTGGTCAGGTGTGGAAAAAGTAACGATGGAAATTCTGATTACCAAGAAACTGAAACTAGAGAATGTTTGACATTTGTGATGACATTTTTATTTCAAACTACAGGAATAATATTTAAACATAGAAAATATCAACTCGACCAAAGAGCTTGCACATGCTGCTGAACTAAACATAACAGAAACATAAAAAATGATTTTGTTAGTTACAAGTACTGGTAATTGCATACATGCATTGTTTATGTGGCAGTTCCTGCAACTGCAGTATGTTTACAGGATGACTTTTCTGTTGGTTTCATGTCAGCCTCTGACTTGCGTTCCCTTATGCCTGCTGGCTCTCAATGTTGGACCCAGACTGATTAGATGTGAAAGTGGAGTTATAAATAACCCACTGGTGTTATGTAAGCATGCTATCATGCTCAAACTGCGTAAACCATGGATTTCATTTACAGGATTCCAAAGACAGAATGTCACATAAGTTTGTGCTCATTTTAAACTTGATGCCAGCAGCAGATTCCAAAACGTTGGGTCAGGCATACGTCTTCAATGAAGAAAGATATTGTCTTGAAGTAAACCTGCATATATCATTCAGCAGTAATGGTATAGATGTAGACCAGTGCCTGCCTATACAATCAGATAAAATTTCAGACCGCAGGCATGCATTTAACTTTAGTCTGTGTTAAACAAGCTCGGGCACAGCGTTTTTCTTTCCTGAGTTTGAACTGGTTTTTGTAGTCAGCCATCATAATTAATTGATAGTTTGCAACCCTATTTTTATTTGTTATATTCAGGTTTTGTACCAAACATGATGAAATCCGCAAATTCTTTGCAATTTTATGTTGAGAAAGGTTTTTCTAAAATAGCTGAATTGTTTGCCTGTGCAGTCATTCGCAAAGTGGTAAACCTCTCCACATTTTCACTTATGAAAGACGGTCTCTCCGGGACGCCTTTTTAATCCAATCATGTTCCAACAGGTGCTTTTCTTCCTTTAAGATACAGCGTAGCAGTGCTCTCAACTCCAAGTCTTTGAAGGCGCACAGGGTGCTATTTTAAAGAAATCTAGATGGGAATGAAAGTACTGGCACTTTGTGAGTGTACTTCACTATATTTATTAAAGGGTTAAAAGACGGATGCCTTTGAGTAATAAGCCATCACGCTGAGGTACTTTCTTTCACTTCTACTTTTTCTTTATTAAGCATTGCACGTCTTTCCAGCCTTTATATAAGTTCCACTTTTTCTTTTATAAGTTTGGCTTGCTGGCATCAAGCTCAGAATGAGCAAATCTTTCTCAGTCTCAACATTTGATAAAACCTCATTATATGAGTGTCATTACCTGTTCTGACCAGCTTCTACTGCTCTTCTTTCCTTACATATCTTTATCCAGAAATGTCACCTCTGACCCCCTGTGCACGACTTCTGTCTGTGACTGTGAAGAAAACTTTAAATATGCCTGCTTTGATTACTACCATGTTCCTATTGGCTTCAAATGCTTTTTCATTCTGCTTGCCTGCTTTCCTGTCTAGCTCTGTTTAGTTTTGTGTTAAAAACCCACATTTTTCTTTATGTAGCTCATGAAAATGATTTCCCCCCCGATTCTCCAACATACTACAGAAAAAGGAAGCTGCTGATCTGTAAAATTCTTGTGCTGAAATATGTGAATCAAAATTAGAAAACCACAATCAAAAGCTATTATAGTTCAACTAAAATGTCTTTTTCTGGTATCATAAGCAGCTATTTTATGAAAGCCTACTTTAGTCATCTTCAGCTTCTACGTTTTGCTTTGGAAAGCACTGAAAGTGCATATGCCTTTGACCTTGCAATCATGTGTTTTCATGTGTTAAGTGCTACTGGCTGATATGTTTTTTAAAGACCCTGATTGCACCGTTCCTAACGTGGTTCAGATGTGCTTAATCTCAATAACCCAGGACCACTGAGCGCCTGTGTAGCTTAAAAAGGTCTAAGTTGCCAACAGAGTACCGACTTCTTCTCAGCACTGTATCTGGTCTTGTTGGTGCCTCGTAATCTTTGCTTGTTGTTACCGCCTGCATTGATTGAGCTAAAAAATGAGAAAAGGTCACAGCCAACGTGAAGCTTTTAGTACCTGCGTTGAAGGTATGTGCATACCAAGGGAGACCTTGCAATCAGAATATGGTAATGACTGTAGAACTACAGTACAGCATACAAGGCTCGGGTACATTCACTTTTTAAATGTACCCAAGACCGAGTCGCTGTGTTTCTCTTTCATTTAGATTAGTTGGATTTGCATATTGACTTTTGATGTTCCCTCTCACCTTTTTGCTTCAGGCCCTTTCATTTGTGTTGCCCCAAACTGCAACTGGAAGATGTTAGGACCAGTCATGGGAACAACGGCGTTACAAGTAACGGCGTTACTTTTTGCAGTAACGAGTAATCTAACTAATTACTGTTCCTATCGTTACAACGCCGTTACCGTTACTAACAAGAAAATGCGGTCGTGTTACTATTTTTCAACAAACAGACGGGTGAAGCTGTGTTCAGCTCACTGCATCTTATATCAGCTGCAGGAAGTAGCTGTAAGTAATCTGGGCGCTGCAGCTTTAAGCAGCTTTCTGCCCGACGATCACTTTTTGGCACAACACCTGGAGCTCAGGGGGCAAAACAATGGCATGAGTGCTGCTGTTTGACTGAGGAAGAATAAAGTAGTTGTGGTAAGCCAATCACATGGCCACTTAAAGACAAGGCAACAAGGTGCCTCTCGAGACCTCTCTGCTTATGAGCAACAAATAAAAAAACAAAACAAAAAACAGCCCTTTGGTGTTGGTGCTAAAATGCACCATGTCGACCAATCAAGAAATGATATGGAAACATGACGTTTGGTTGTTTAGGAAGAGGCGGAAGTTTTAGGAGTGACAGTGAGAGAGCGAGTTTTGAGATGTGAGAGATTTGTGACGTTTAGCGTGTTTGGAGTGTGTAGTTAGTGTGTTGTCTTGTGTAGTTAGTGTGTTGTCTTGTGTAGTTAGTGTGTAGTGTTGTGGATAGTTTTGTGTTGTGTGTCAGAACAATGAGGCGACTGCTGTCTCCAGGTAGAAACCGGAGTGACACACCTGCTGCTGTCAGACCTGCAGGTATCAGGCTGTGATGTTTCCTTTATAGTGGACAGAAATTATGTTTTTGGAGTGGCACAAATAATTTGTGGCATCTTATTGAAAAAGGAATAAAAGGTAAATGGCTGCAAATAACTTTGTTATTTGCAAAACTTGTACATAGATTTTAAAATTGACAATTTATATTTGCATTTAAAGTTATGAAAAATGATTCATTAAACATGTTTGTGGTTGTTACAGTAAAAAATCCACCTTTTCTACTCGGATTTTATGTTTTTTGTCTGATTTTAGATCAATACAGTCTGTCAAAATGAAAACACGACTGTAAATTCAGACACGTGAGGTTGTGCTGAAAACAATGATAAACAAGGCAAAGGAAATAGTTTTTAAAGGTGAAATGTGGAGGGAAAATCAAACGTAGTGAAAAATGGCCAATTATACCCTGGAGCCCAGGGGGTTAAACGTTTTTTTTAACGTAACGTAATAGTTAATTTTCAAGTAATTAATGACTTTTAGAATATTGTAACTCAGTTACTAACTCAGTTCCTTTTTCAAGAAGTAACTAGTAACTGTAATTAATGACTTTTTCAAAGTAACTTGCCCAACACTGGTTAGGACATGTCAAGGATATCGTGTTAGTTGGCTCCCTGGGGGTGCACGTGTCAGTGGGACTATTTTTTCCCCTTCGACGCACAAGCTTACAAATGGCACGCGCCCTGCTGGAGCAAAGGTACTGGCAGGCTCTGACTGACCTTTGAAACACTTGGACAGTCAGTGGTCATCTGGCCTTGTGCAGGCAGCTCATGCTGGCTCACTGTATAGTCACAGAATAACTCCAGCTCGAGGTAGAGAGGCTGCTTGTAGCAGAGGCCGTATCACCTTACAGCATCCGCGCTCGGCTGCATTGATACGGCTCCAGTGTCAAAAGTGTCGCTTCATTTTCTTTTTAATGGGTTGCAGGATTTTCTTTTTTACCCCTTCCCTTTCTTTCTGCCATCCCTCTCTCCCTCTCTCCTAACTCGAGGCCTTGAATGATGCACTCTTCCATTTCTAAAGACTCCATCTTCTGCTGGGTCAATGGAATACACATCCCAGTTTGACCTCTCTTTTGTGTGGGTGAAAATTGGCCGCCCAAGCCAGCGGCTGCTATTCCCTCACGGCGTTGTTGATGTGCGTATCAGCTATCGTAGATTATTTCCCTTCTGGCAGCTTGTGAAGTCTGAGGAACACATATATACTATGAAATAAGTCGAAATTGAAGTTTTGCTAAAATTGTATTTCAGGGTTACTTTTGATTTGCTCTTTGCTCAACAGAATCTTCTAGTCTGAAACTTCTCAACCGTACAGCTGAATAATGCGGGGCATGATGCTTATATGTGGGGATGAATTTCAAATGCTGTTAGCTTTGGATTCGATCGCTGCTCGTGGAGAATTTCAGCCACTGGCTTTTACACCGTGACTGTAGTTGTGCTTGTTTGTATTAGCTTTTATTATGATTGACAAGCTGGCATTAAAGTAAGCCTGAAGAGAAGCCATCCTATGAAACAGCCAATATAAGCTCTATTTATGTGCCTGAGTGTGTGCACCTTGTGAGCTTGTTTGTGTGTTTGCAAGAGATTTGCTTTAAATGAAGTCTGACCTTTGTTGGAGGACAGGCCTGCTTTCAAATGGCAAGTTGCTTATTGAAGTGCCCCTTCTACGCTTATTGCAAGCTCGAACAAATCACTATTCATAATGTGAAAACATTCAAACTGTATACCGACGCCCAAAGGAGCACACATCCAGGCACAGTCTCCAAGATGTGGCCATGAATTGTTCATCACCATAGACAAACTTCAGCTGCTGCGCTGCTCTACTTTGTGAGTTCCTAATAAAACAGGTCACAGGGTTGTAAAGCCTGTATTTATCCAGTTCTTAATAGGAATAGAAAAGACAGTATTTTATTTTCCACTTCCAACTTTTCACTGCAACAGTGAAATGACATTTAGTTAGTGCTTGCATTACTCAATATTGTGGATGACCTTCTTTTTCTTGTACTATATTTACTTGACAGAGCAGCTGCTGAGCTGCTCTCTGAAACAGAAAGAATGTGGCGAATGTTTCAATTATCAGCTGGATGTGGCTGTTACAGCTAAACGCTCCCCTTTTTCTCCCACAGGACCTGAATGGTGCGCTGAAGAGCTTGCTGTCTGAGTGGTTCTCTGTAGGTCTGCTGCGACTCGAGAGAATCACCTGGCAGTCCCCCTGCGAGATCCTGCAGAAGATCAGCCAGTAAGGGCATCACTGCGACCCAGTTTTGTTCCTCATCTTTAACTGTAGAATCGCATCGCAGGCTGTTTTTTCTTCTTCCCTGAAGCACATTAGACAGCACAGTTTTAAAAATGACTGTTAGTTAACCCCTCCTCTGTAACCATAGGGACAGCGGGCTTGTCCACATGTTTAAATGAACTTCATGAGCATTTAAACACGTGGACAGGGCTGCTGTAGCATGACAGAGGGAGGTAAAAGCACACACATGCACCTGCTTGCACACACAAGTTTGAAGTACTTGTTGGGAGAAGGTGCTACAGCTGATTAATGTATTTAAAGCAGCCCAACTAGCTGTGCATTTCTCTCTTTTATCTTTACCTAAAGATTCAGCTACAGGTTTTGGAAATGATTAGTATTAGAATATAACTGTAGCTTTACTCCAGGCTCTAGGGGGAGTCATTTCACTTCCTATTCCCACTGTACAGAAATCAGGTGCACTTTAGAAGGCGGGTAAACAAGGTAGCAGGTGAGACAGTCCTCAAAATATTGCAGTGAAATTAGCTAAATGGGCAACAAAGTTTATATAATCTAATCTAATATAAATAGGAGCCCTATTAAGCGCCCCATGTGAAGCTATTGCTATAAAGATCTTTCACAGCAGCCAGTTTGATGTAAAAGTTTGCAAACACAAATGTTAGTAATCACTTTAATTAAAACTTTGTAACGCCTGTATTTAGCTTTATATTAATTTGGCTATTTTATGTTAGAATAGCAGAAAAAGAAGGTCTTTTGCAAACCGTTGCAATTGAAAACGCAATATTTGAAATTGAGTAACACAACACTTTTATCTTTGAATGAAAAATGAGGAAAATGTCATTCAAAGCTAACTGGCTCGACGCAGCTAATCAGACCCACTTGTGGTGGTTCTTTGAGCCGCCCGAATGAGACGCCGCTTTTGTCGACCTCCGTCTGAGCTGAAGGATCCTGTGCTGCAAAAAGGACACTGAGTTTTTTTAAGCTGCTGTGATTATTTAAGCTGGAGGCGTGTAACTAACATTTCATATATGTAACCAAGAACTTTGGAGCTAACCATGAGCCTGCCTTCTCCCAGGTATGAGGCAGTGCACCCTGTAAGAAACTGGACCGACCTGAAGCGCAGAGTGGGACCGTACCGACGCTGCTATGCCTTCACCCATGCTGCCATGCCGGGAGAGCCCTTGGTTGTACTCCACGTGGCTCTGACTGAAGACATCTCTGATAACATACAGGTTAGACGGAGCCTGCTGTAACGGTTTGTGTCCCTTTATTAAAGCGTAGAAGACAGTTACACGTCTGGGATTTACTGTGTCGGTCCTCCTGTCACGTGACCAGTATGAAGAAACATCACGGCGAAGGCCTTGTAACTGCACATCCCTGTTTAAACAAAGCTTTATGCTCAGCAATCGCTTCTTTTTGTTTTTGTGCGAGCTAAAGGCGGTTTTCACAACATTGAAATCCAAGAATATTTCACAGTGTAAAATTGTGCAATGATTTCCACAGTTCTGCCCCAGCGGCTCTCAAATAGTTGTAGTGAAACTTGCCCTGACAGCAGCTCAGCAGCTAAGAACACTGAAAATGGGTTTACAGCTGCATGAGTAGTGCAGGATTTGTCTTTCTTACTCCAGCCTAAAGAAAAAATGATCTTCTCTCTTTCTTTTTTCTCAGAGTATTGTTCGTGAGTTTGCCACCCTGGACTCAGACGAAGACGTGAATAAGATCAATTCAGCTATCTTCTACTCGATCTCTTCAACACAAGCTGGCCTGCAAGGGGTGGAACTGGGCAATGTCCTCATCAAGAGGGTGGTGCGTGAATTGCAGGTAAGCGAACGTGGGCTGCAGGTGCTTATTAGGGGTGCAACGATACTCGTATCGATATTGAACCGTTCGATACAGAGCTTTCGGTTCGGTACGCATATGTATCGAACAATACAACATTTTTTATTTATTTTATCAACTTTCCTTCTGACGATGCTGTCTGTGTTGAGCGCTCAGTGGATCTGCGCTCGACAGTGCAGCCTAGGCGGAGTAGTCGAACGCAGTTTCACTGAGCGCAGCGCAAGCTAGCGAGACAGAAGCTAAGCTCTCCTTTCAACATGGCAAATTGAACCTCCCCCACCCTCATTCAGATCTGGCCTTTGGAATTATTTTGGTTTTCATGTGACCTATGACCCTGAAGGTAAGCGCGTCATGGACTAAAGTAAAACAGTATGTCGGATGTGCCACGCAATGCTCAATTACATGGTGGGAGCTAGTGTGTTAGCGCAGTTAGCTCGTTAACGTGTTGGCCGTCCAGCTCCACGCACGGGGCGATCCGCGGTAGCTCGTTAACGGAGATTTGCCGTGTTGTGGCGTTAACGTCATTTCAGATTAACGCTGACAGCACTAGTGGGAACACAATGAATATGACTGCACATTTACTCCGACATCATCCTAGTGCAAAGACAAGTGGAAGCAGACAAAAACAACAAGCAGCATGCTACAAACTTTACCCGAGTCATTTAGACAGCCGTTAGCACAGGATTCTCCTTATGGGGACCTGATATGTTTAATATGCTGCTGAGAATATAGCCCAGAAGAAGCTATAGTAGAGCTTTTATTTTGGAAAGAGACATTTCTCTGTAATAAACTCTCTTTTCCAAAGATGAGCGATTCCTCCATCAGATAGATTTATTATTTTATTACTTTGTTGTTTCAGCAACATTAAATTTAAAAACTGTACTTTTGAGTTAAAATATATATTTATAATTTTAATAAATGACAAATTAAAAAGGCATGAACAGTTTTTTGTATCGAAAAAATATCGAACCGTGACACCAAAGTATCGAACCGAACCGTGAATTTTGTGTATCGTTGCAGCCCTAGTGCTTATATACAACAAACAATCACATTTTCACATTTGTAGCCTGACAGAGTTTACCTTGGCTCAGCTGCAGCTACTAGAACTTGAATTGTCTTTGAGGATATGATCGAATTATTTGGAAATGCCTCAGTGTTCCCGTTGATGGGATGAGAGCAAAACATTTTTGGTTAATTCTGCTAATTAAATTGCCGGTACCTGTTTAAAATACCGATGACATTCCAGATAAGTGTCAATGAAAGAGATGCAGCAAGGTTAAGTAAACATGTGTTATCTAAATATAACCAGGATGTAGCGAGGCACGTCAGTGACGCTTCTCAACCTTTCCATTACAGCTAGATAATAACGCCTTATCGTGAACGCACACATGGCACAGAGCTCCTCCCTTTCTTCAGATGTTGTCCAGCTGACCTACTTTCTTACATTTAGCATCCTTTTTTTATTCTTAGTGCTGAATCATAAATCTCCCACTTGCAATAGCGCCTGAATGCATGTATACATAAAGAGAGAAGTACTCAGCTGACAGGCAGTACTAACATCTCATCCATCCCTCTCAATAAGCACAGAAGAGCTCTTTGTGTTGGACCACTCTAGCTCGCACTTGTTAAACGATTGGAACACTGAATGGAAGATCAAAAGCTTCTCTCATCAACAGCTGGGAAATAGCTTTTCATAGCGTATCCTCATAAAAAAAGAAAATCAGGTTTAAAGTGTTTTCATTTTATTTATCCATACAAAGTGACTGTTTTGATGTCTGCAAGTGGTTTGCTTATTGTCATTGTTATTAATGGAAGCATACGGTTGAGTGAGCAGCGCAGATATGGTTTTGTGTTTTCTGCCTCGGCAGTAAGGCTTTGGGTGTCGCACGTCACCGATGTTATATTGCATTGTTTTGTAGAAGCCTTAAAGATGCGAATTCTGCATTCGTGAAGGCGTGTAAGAGAAATGAGACTTTAATAAAGTAAAGAAACAAAAGAAACGAAAGAAACAGGAACTGGAACAAAATAAATAACGGTACATCACAGACTCTTTCACTTCCTCTGACTTGTGCTGTTATAGCTCTTCCAGCCTCCTAATGCAGATTTCTGTCTCCTTTCTATCTGCAAAGAGAAAGTAGCTTAACAGTTGTGAGACACCTGTCTCTGTCCTTTCATCTCCTCTTGACCACTTTTCCTGCTGCTATTAGTTATAAATGTCTACCTGGAAGTGCTGGTCTGACTATTTGCACGCATGCATACGAGCAGATATGCAGGCCTTCAGGTCAGGAGGTGGTTTTTTGGTCTTCACAGGGTTGTGCACACGAAAGTTGATTAGCAAAATGATACTGCTTACTGACCTTCTACTGTAAATACGGGAGCTGAGATGGTGGCTGTGTGGGGGCTTTTTTGACTCAGCACCCACCCTGGCAGTCGGATACAGTCCCTCCTCCTGGAGGAAAAATCTAAACTTGACACGCTGAAGGATGTCCAGCCACTGTGGCAGAAGTGTAAGTGAAAGTGGTCTGAACGGGACTCACACTAAGCAATCTTAAAGATCTTGAGCTTTGGAATCGTTCCAGAGCAACGAAGCAACGTTGAAGAAGAGAGCTGGCAGTTTAAATGAGGAAATAACTGCTTGTATGTTTATAGCAGTGAACTACTATAGATGTATACATCTTTGCCTGCCTATACTCTATTAAACATACTGAACATGTCATGATCGGCTGTGTGGCAGGCGGGAGGAGGACCCAATCGCAAGATTCACAAACACGGGGATGAACTCAAAAGCAGCTTTATTGCTGACAGGCAGAACATAGGAAATAAAGAACTCAACTAAACTGGGAATCAATAAACTAACAGTCGTAGGGAGACACAGGGACTCCACACAGCAATGAGGGAGAACGCGACGCCGAACAGAGGGAGACGCAGACAGAAATACACAGAGGGTTAACGGGGAAAGTGGGAACACACGGGGAACACAGCTGACACAGATAACCATAACGAGACAGGGCGGGGTGAACATAACACTGACGGGAGACGGGCAGAGTCAAACAGGAAGTACAGAGGTTCAGACAGGAGGAGAGAGCACGGGGAAAACACAGACATAACGGGCTGGGGAAACATGGAATAAAACATAAGGAGAGACGAAGGCTCACAGATACACAGAGGGGCACACAGGGGGTAAAAGCCACGAAGGGAAAACACTTAGGGAACAACACAACAGGGCAACTCAGGGAACATGGCCTAAATAGGGAACAAAATACAAACATACAAGAAAACTAAGAACACTGGGCCAACATGGCCCAGGACCATGACAGAACAATAACAGATCAAACATTATTAGAAAGAACAGGTGGAAGTTAGCAGGTGTGTGTGAACTGTAACAGACAACAGATCAGAGAGAGCGAAAAAAGTTCCAAATTATTTCTAAATCCATTTTCATGCAGACAGATAGGGGTTACAGTGACACTAGTTACAGTGTCACTGTAACTAGTGTCACTGTAACTAGTGTCACTGTAACTAGTTATCTCATAACTGTTCGATATAACGATATATATAAAAACGTCTATCGTTTGTTTCGTGGTGTCACAAAATAAACACAATTGGCTAATTATGCTATTTATCTTGCTGTTTAATAATGTATACAGCTAGAATTATAATTAACTAAGTAAAATTTAATATCAGTACGTACATACTGCCCTCCTGAGCTAACTTAAGCTTTTAGCTCTAGCTGTCTTTAGCTTTAGGGATTTTATTTATCATCATGATAATATCAACTGCTTCATATACCAAATACTTTATAAACTAAGTCTCTACAAAATGTATTTAAAAGTGATTTAAAAGAAGGCACAGATTCAGCACTCCTTATCTCCTCAGGCAGGTCATGAAAAAGCTGAGTAGCCCTGGTGGCAAAAGCACGGTTGGATTTAAGCCGCTGCCTTAAAACAGCCAGAAAAGCTCTAACTGAGGAGTTGAAAGCTGCAGACGGGCTCTTATGGGGTTAATATTTCTGCCACGTAGCTCGGGGCCAGACCTAGATGTGTTTTAGAAGTGCAAAGCAAAATCTCAAAATGAATTCTGAAAACCTACGGAGGGCCGGCGGAGAGAAGCCCGAGTGAGGGTTTGTCAGGTCGTCTCCTAAAACTAGGAGGAGTCTTTACTCTGGTGTATTGAAATTTTTGCTTCATGGCAGAAAAGAGGGAGAAAAACCACAAACGTGTGTTTGCCTGTTCAGGGCAGAGCGTGAAAGCACTGGTTTCATCTGCACGTGGTTCCTCGACCAGAGTCGGTGTTTCCAACATGCTATAAAAGGCTTTAACATAGAATGATACTTCAGGGAGGCAGAATGTATTCTTCTGTTTGGTTCAAGAAATCTTCTGGACAGTTTTCCATGAATGGGAATCGTACCCGTGACCCTGACGAGTGACTTCAAAGCCAGCTGTGGCAGAGGTTTCTCAGCTTGGCTTCTTTAGCGTTTGTAAAGGTGAAGAGAGGAGCGGCGTAGCACAGAGGGAGCACTCTGATGACTGATAGATGACAGAGGGGAAAAGAAAAGGTCACCGTGGTGATTTAAGGTAAAGAGGACGCCCTGCTTGTCTTTGTAGATTGGACCCTGGAGCGTAGTTCTGGCACTGCTCCATCCTTTCTTCTATATTCTATCCTCCCACTTTCTTTTTCCTCCTTTCTTACTGTTTCTGTCCTGATTCGGGTACCTTCCTGTTCTGTAAACACTGCCCACTCCTAACAGGCAGTAGTTAAAAGTAGAGGTTAGAATAAGGAAGTGCAAAGAAGTACAAAGGCAGCAGGACGCTGAGAGTGAGAAGGTTGGCTTTTAGTGTAAAAGGGGCCGAGGGGGTCGAGATCAAGGGGGGAATAGAAACAATGTTGCAGAACAAGGCACACAGACAGCGACTTGTCCCTCCAGGGTTTGTCTGACACTTTCATCGGCAGCCTTTCACTTCTCTGCCTGCCACATTTGCTCCGTCACTTATCAACCTAGACGCTGAAGCGCGAAGATGGGCCGGGGAGGGGAGGGGGAGCGTTTTTGTGAAAGTAGAGAGGTAGTGGGGTGGAAGAGGACTTGTGAGATGGGTGAGTGGGTGGGTGACTGGTTCGTGTGTGGGCAGACAACAGGAGGCAGAGACACGCGGGGGCGGCTGTTGAAAGAAAAGGACAGGTTTTAAAGGTGCAAGGGACAGAGGAGGTGGATGGAATAAGAGGGAGGTAAGGACAGAGGGGGTCATCCATCTCCATCAGGAGGGCAGGATCATGAAGCAGAGGAGCTGATTTGCAGTGCTGTCCCTCTCTGAGGAGCTAAAGGCCCGAGCAGCTGCCTGGGAACAAACATTTCTTTTGGTGGGTGTTTTGATGCTGAGGTGAGTGTTCGTCACTCCTTTTTCCACTGCTGTAAAACTGGTGACCTTTACATTGTAGTAAAGATAAGATCTGTGCTGCCTCGTACGTGGTCTCTCGGTTTCCTCTTTGCATCCCCAGTTTGGATTTGCAAATGATCTTTTTTCTTCTTTCCGCCTGTTTGGAAAGGTTGAGGCTATTTTACGGCTTTTACTGCATTAATGCACATGATTGTACATACTGTAAAAACAGTGCTGCAGCCTGACATGCACAGGCCTTTTTGAATGAATGAAATTCGACTGGATGTAAATAGGTCATGGGTATAACTCTGTGCCTCTCTTCTGCCTTCCAGAGCGAGTTCCCTGTCATGGCCCAGTTCTCCAGCCTGTCACCCATTCCAGGCTTCTCCGCTTGGCTTCAAGGCCTGCTCAGCCAGTGCAGGAAGGAGGGCCGTGCATTTGATCTGCTCTCTGAGGAAGAGTGGAAGGAGATACAACATGCCACCGATTCGACCCCGGGGACCCCGACCGTGGATTCCCTTCGCAAGCTCCTCAGCTCTAACGAGTGGATGCGTTCAGAGAGACTGTGCGGAGTCCTGGAGCCTGTTCTGATGCGTCTGTGCGCCTGGTACCTGTACGGGGAGAAGCGGCGCGGCTATGCTCTCAATCCAGTGGCTAACTTCCACCTGCAAAATGGCGCTACAATGTGGCGGCTCAACTGGCGTGCCGACACCAGCCCCAGGGGTGTGGCCAACTCCTGCGGCATCATGGTGAACTATCGTTACTTCCTGAACGAGACGTCTAAAAACAGCGCGTGTTACCTTCAGAATAAGGTCATCGCAGCGTCAGATCAGGTGCTCGGCTTCGTGTCCCAGTTTCAGAAGGCCAGCAAACTGTGATTAAGCGATGGGGACACGCCCACCCGTTCTGTTGTTCTGCTGTTTCGATCGATTATATATTTGTGAGAATTTCATTTAAATCCGTCCTCGATACTTGGCGTGTTTAATAAATGTTCAAAGACCAGCAGCTCCAGAAGAACCGCTGAGTGGATGTTAGTCGATATTATGTTTTGAATTGAAATGAGAGCATTTCTCACGTGACGTAACTCTCGCCATCTGCTGTTTGCCTCATTAGATTTCTGGCCAAAGCTGTTTGATATTGTGTAAGTGATTCCCAGGACAGACTGCAGCTAATGAAGCACGAGGCATCCATCACTGCTGTAACATGTTCTTGGATAAGACTCTGTGTAAAGTGCGAGCAACGAGGGAGCGCAGCTACTGGAATAAATGATGTTTGGATTCTTTCATTTGGCTGAACTGTCGTGTTGCAAATATGTCAAAGGATGTGATAGAAATAGATTTTGTCTCTTATTCTTCCCGCGCTTGGGTTTATCTACACCTGCTGCTTATTCCCACTAAAGCTCAACACACAACGACATGAAATCACAGACTGGAAATATTATTTCATATTAAATAACACTAAAAAAATTCGATTTGTTTTGCGCGTTTGTTACAACTGCTTATATTTTCCAGTTGACTGTGCTCGCTTTAACCCAGTGGGCTGGACCCTCCTGGTAGCTCCATTCAGGTGATTTTTGGGGATAATTTAGCCCACGCCTACACACACACACACACACAATTACATATGACCAGCGTCTCCGGAGAACCATCGCTGATGTTCTAAGTGCTCTGTACAGGTGCCAAGCAGGGCTCATATCAGCCCACACCCCATTGTTGTGAAATAATATATCACAGTAAGTTGACTGTGAAATTACATTTTATCTCTCCAAGGAGCCAAACTTTCTTTTCATTTTTTTCACACTCTTCCTCCTCCAGCCCCCACCCCACCCTTTTCTCTCTTTGTGCCGCTCTGTGTCCTAGAAACTAATGGAGTGAGAAATAAAGTTAAAGTAAATGGCTAGATTGATGGTGTTCGGTTGTGGGGGGGGCTGGGGGGGATAAGGAAGCATAAAAAGGACAGTTGTTTAAGGGATGCCCTTGAGACACAGTGTCTCTGGAGGTATTTGTGGCAGTAGGAGACGCATACGTCTCTGTGTACAGATGTGCGTGGGGACCATCCCTCTGTCTCCCAATAGAGGAAATAGTGGTTGTTGCCACGGAAACAACAGCAACATACTCCACACCTGACACTGGAAGCTAAGGGTTTTTTTTTGAGTCACCTTTGCCCAGGAGTGGCCAATGGCACTGTGCACGCAGCAGTCCAAGTCCACTAGCTTTTAATTACGAACTTTATAAATGATGTCTTACAGTAATGACTTTTTAAAAGTAGTCAGTCAGGTATTTCCCCTTGGAGTAAGAGGACAAATTGCTCATGTGGCGAGCAGCTACAGCTCTGAAACCTGATTTGCGCACACGCCGGGTTGCCTCTAAATGAAATGATACAAACCTCGTCAGTGGAGGATGTTTCGAGGACGAGTCGGTTCACGCTGCGAGTCTATCTGAAGGCTTCTAATTGTTTGAAGAGGAGACGAGACGGTGGGGTTAAAACAACAGCTAATAGATATCACAGTAAAGCCCTAAAAGCGTATTACTTGCATTAAGATAATTATTTTTGTTTGACACATTTTCTGACAGCGTATGTTTAATTATTACAACTGTAAGTGTGGACTAATCTGCATGCATGCTTTACCCCAACAGATCCTGGGAGAGAACTGCATCAAAATGAATGAAAACGCTGGTTTCAGATTGTTGATATTAGAGTCAAAGGTTTTACACAAAGGATTCTGGGTAGACTTTCTTTTAAGGTTAACGGGTTGCGCTTGCACTGGGATTATGAGGCTTTCACCATACTTTTCAACCACTCAAAGCGCATTTACCCATTCCCACAGACGTCTTTTGGTGTCTTTACGTGCAGGCTGGAGGATCCCAGGATCAAACGAGTGACCTTCTGATAAGCGGAGACTCTTGCTCCTGGGTAAAGCTACAGCCTTACTCCAAAAACCCCAAACTGCAGGTAACAACCAGCCAAAAAAATCAATGTTTTGCAAAAGTGCCAGGTTCTTGGGAATAAAATGTTCTATGAATGAAGCTATGAACAACATAAGCACACTCAGTCTGTAAAAACAGAATAAAACATTTTAAAAATTGGTTGATGTAACTCCACTGAAGTGAAGATTCCTGGCTCAAACAAAGCGTCTGTTTAGACAAAGTGCTGGAACAAAATGTCCAGCAAAGTGTTTATTTTGAAAAATTTCTTTCTGCTCCTGTTCCATGTTGTGGAGGCGGCGTTCCAAAATCCCCACAAAAAACATTTTGTCTCTTAGTGTTTGACCTCAAAGTTAAGTAAACTGCAAAAAGGAAGCAAAGATTCGACTTTTCTTGTGCTCGCTTGTTTAGTTCTTGTGCGGCAGTCAAAATAAGTCAAATTAAACGCGATTTACTAAACATGTCATTGCAACAAAGTCAGAGAACGATGATGATGATGATGATGATGATGGGGTGAAGATCTGGCAGTAAAATTCCAGGTTAGAACTTTTTGAAGCCAAATGTAGCTCGGAGTATTCAGGTCACTGATGCGCTGTGTGCTCAGACCAGTCTTGATATTTGTCTAATCAGATTGCAGTTTTGTCACATTTCCAGCCCCTGCGCATGTTGATAATGGATTCACAGCCCAGTTCAATATTGCGCTGCTCCGTTGTCTGACACATCTTAGAGCCAATACCCCCCCCCCCAAAGAAAAGCAGCAGAGGACCTAATTACAATTGATTACAAAACTGTCTGCTGTGGAAAGTCATGCCTCATCTAAAAATAATTCAGTAATTCAGAAGCTCCTTTTATTTTTTCATCCCTAGATGTGAAGTGTGCGTGTGTGCGCGCACGGCAGTGGGGCATTTCATTTCTTGTTCCTCGTTCGGAGGAAATTGCCTTACAAATGAAGCTAATCCATTTTTTACACATCACAGTGACCAGGAAAGTCCGAGAGTGGCGGCTGTGGTATTTTCACGTTTTAATTCATTCTGATAAGGTCTGAGATTTAAAAGCCTTTTGTCCTTCTCTGTACAGGGAGTTAAAAGGGACAGCAGAGGAAATAAGTGCTGGGGCGTAGCACTTTTAAACTCTGATATGTTGCACTTTATTATAAATACATCAGAAAGCGTAAAACTAAATAGCAGCTTATGATTTTGAAAGGGTGTTAATCAGCATCTCCAGAACATCATCAAAACACTGCGTTGCGTCTCTCTCCTCCTCGAATGCTCTCGTGTCATTTCTTTTCACTGAAGTGCTCGATTAATTAAATGTTATGGACTATAGAGTATAAACATTGGCGCACAGCACGAACCAATCCATTCCAACTTGGTGCGGTCCAATATTTGTTGTGCTTGCTGTGCCACAGTGGAAAACACACAAAGATGCCAAGTAAGATTCAATCCACCAGTGACACCCTCAAAGGTAATTACAGCAGAGAAAATGCTATGAAAGAGAAGAAAATGCAAAAGTCATTATTTTTGAAACACAAACACGATGAAATTCGTTTAACCTTCCGCTCGGCAGCCATTACGTTCCCGGGAACCACTGAAATTTTGGTCCAAACGGATGAACTCTGACTTTTACCCGAGTGCTGATAAACAGCTGTAACCAGTAAAACCTACTACACCTGAACCTTTGCTGTGACACATTACAGGCTGACTTTATCAAGCATTAAACACTCAAAAACTCATCCAAGCTGCTGCCCCGTGCCTGCGTGATGTGTTTACACCTGCTTTGATTGACAGTGACACAGCAGCAGCTTTCCTAATGTCATCGGATTTCACTCAGTTTTGATCACCTTTTTCAAAATGGGATGTTTAAAACCTGCAATAAGAACACTGTTTAAAGAGCACCAGCTTTGTGCTCATGCAGCACTTCATTGTTCGTAGCATCACCCCGCTGAGACTGTTGGCACAGACAGCTGTTTATTTACCCTAAAAAAGGATTTTTTCCGTGCTGTTGAAGTTTATCTGCTCACTTTGAAAGATGTATCCTCTGGAATTTTGTACCGTTTTATTGCAACACTCACTCGTGACATTTGAGAGAAATCAATGCATCTCGCTTTTTGGGCTCGAGTCGCTTTTTATGATGAAGGCTTTTGCACACATGCTGTAAATGTCATTGTGCGGTCCATTCGCTGCTGCGTTTTCAGGTATGTGATGATGTGAGGGAAAGTGGGATTTTCAGTTGATACTGAACTGGCTTCACCTGCAGGCCACTGACTTTCCCGTGTATGTGTTGAAGTGTGTGTGGATGGGAGGGAGGGTTCATCCAAGTGTGTTAATCCATTCTTCCTGGTTGCTGTCCCTGGCCCTCCTTCATGCTTCTCACCTCACATCATCACCATTCTCTTCCTTCCCCACCCCCTGGTAACCCGACCCTGCACCCACAGCCCATCCAATCCCTTGGTCCGTCTTCAAAGGACTTCACGGTTTTACGAGCAATCGGGACACACGCGTGCACGCACCGCCATCGTGTGCGTGGCCACACACTCCTGCGGCACACACGGTGCCTTTCGAATCTGCCAGTATTTTGCAAGCTGGAGCCTTTAGAGGGCAGCAGAGTTTCACTTGGAGTGAATTTGCTTCTGGTTTGAACCGTGCTGCTCTGATGTGTTGGCCAAACGCCTTCATTCCCTCCTTTTAGAATTTACCGTAGCCTCTCTCTTCCATATCAAGTTCTTCCTTTCCTCTCTTTCTCTCACTTCTTCTCCTTTTGCTTTAAATTCAAACCAACCACTGCTTCTCTGCTCCGGTTGTGGAGTGAATTGGAGATTGACAGATATGCTATATCTGGTTATAAGCTGTAATTAAAACTCATTTGCCTTGCTGATGGCATTTTCCACCACCCTTCATTCAAACCAATTAGTTAGCATTAGTTGACCTGACGTCTTGTATCAGATTGAGTTATTGAATGAAAAGGAGGTAAACACGCAGAGGTAGCGGTGGCATCCCCCGAGGGTGAAGCCACTTTATGCCCTGATCCTGATGCCAGACAGATTGAAATGTGACGCACTCACATGCACGTGCAAACCTCAAAGAGACATCAGCAAGGTGCCTCGTTGACTCAAAGATATAACGAAGCAGACTCGATAAACAATACGTTAATACGCATGCATATAGCACACATGTACACACGAGGCTCTGTTACCGAGTTCATTGATCGTTCACTGTCTGAAGGCTCGCTCACCTCGAGCTCATCTCCCGCTTTCCTTTTCCCCTCAGTGCTGGGGCCACCTGGAAAAACCTGGAAACACCTTTCTGTCTCTCACGCTGCTAATTTAAATTGCCTCTCACTGTGCATGAGTGAAATTCCCCAAACTTTTGACAGTTGTGACGCAAACCAGATGTTAAGAAATTTAATGGAACCAGATGTCCTGAATATTTTATCTGCCCTCACCAGTCTTTCAGCAATGTTTAAGTACTGACAAAGCAAAATCTGAGCAACTGAGGAAGACGTAACTGTCAGTAACAACAACTGCACTGTTCATAATTCTGTTC